TGGCCTCATGTGGTCATCTGTGCCCTTTGCATGTCTAATTTTTATGTTTTAAGGCAAAACCCCTCAATTCCTTCTTTTCCCCTCCCTCATATTTATTCCTTTAATGAGTTTTTAGGGGGCTTTTCTCACCACAGAAAATACACAGGAGTTTGAAATTAAATTATCTCAGAATGCAACTCTGAACTGTGCACTGGAAATTCCTTCTGACTCCACTGCAGTGAACAACTTGTGCCAGAGGCATGCTATCTAATTACCATACACTTTCTTGACTAGTATTGTGGGGAGGGAAAAGGCAGTGTGAGATCAACTGAAATATGAAACAATAAAAGAAATGAAACTGCATGAAGTAAGAGGAGGAAAAATGAGATGGGAGTTGTTTTTGTTAAATGTTTACTGTTCATAAACTGCCTGAGGCTTAAATTCTTGACTGTTAGAGGATTTTACAGTTTTATGGATACCATCAGAAAATTTTAAAGTATCCTGGCTTGTATTGCTATTCTTGTTGAAAGTACACATTCCTTGCTTCTCAAATACTATATCTAGTTTGGTGGTTTATTATGTGTTTCTTGAAAATCATCCTTCAGCCATTCTTAGCTCTAAGCCAAATAATAACTAGACTGATTCATCCAAAAAACAAATGCTATTGGATCTCTCCATATTCCTTTTCACTTTTAAAGACCTTACTCTTTTCTTCTCCATAATTCACTTAGCAAAATCCTTTCCAAGGCCTCTGGCTTCCAATAAAGGAATAATTGTGGTTGAAGACTGAGAAAAAATTCTGCTTCTTGTCACGACTTTGTAATTATTTCCTCAAGCTCTGTGTTCTATTAATTATGAATTTATTTAGAAAACAGCCTGCTCACCAATAGTATAGTAGCAAAAAAAAAATCTTTATAAAAAGAAAAACATGTCTCAAAAATCAATTTAAAAAATCATTTTTTCTGTAGTACAGATATGTTTCCATGTCCCTTTGCAGAGTTAATGCAATCAAAAGTCATTAGCAGAAGACTAAAAGTTTTCCTCCATTCATCTGCTTTCTCTCATCAGATACATTTCAGCTAAAAGATTTCTTCATATTAACTGATACACACAGTATGAAAGCAAGTGAAACTAAACAGACATGAAATATTTTTCAGCTCTGCAGATAAGTACAAAATTGCTTGCAGAGTTTAATCTACATTTGGTATTCTCTGATGGGTCAGATACCTCATTTCTTACACGAAACAATGGAAAATGAGTGACTGCAGACCATTCCCACAATAGTCAAAACTGTAATACAAGCAATTTGCATGAGAATGTCAGTATGACCCATCCACTTGGTTGCTAAAAATTCCTGAATTTTTAAAATTTGGACTAAACTGAAGACATTGTTTCTTTTTGTGCAGATATTTTTCTAAGCTTCCTCAAAATCCTAGACAGAAGTCAGAATTTCAAGCATGTTACCTCACCACCTCACCCATGCAGCAGTGATAACAGCAAACACCCTGCATGAGGGGCAGGGTTAAAACTCAGTTATGAATTGTCTGGACTAAACAACATCTGGCAGGAAGAGCTTTTTTTTTTTTTTTTTTCTTGACAAACACAGAACTTTGCAATTTCATTTTTATGGCAGAGTAATGATCTGCAATTAATTCACAGCTATATGACCAAAGCAATCCTTTCTATTGTGAGGTACTTAATAGACATATTAAAAAGAGAAAGATGTGGACAAGAAAATGTAAGGTCCCATTTTTACATAAAATGCTAATCATAAGTGTCGCAGTGTATAAAGTTTTTTTTCTGAGGTGTTCCCTTGGGGCTTAGTCTGTGTAACTCCAAACCACCACTGTAGTTTCATTTGAAAAGCTGAAACTGTTGAAGTAAACTTCTGCCTGTTAAAAAAACCAAAAGAAAAATCAGGGTTCATGATCAGAAGTAGAACAAATAGATAAACAACATCTATCTATATCTTGCAATTAATCTGGTTAACACTACATAAGCTATGGGCAGGAAGGCTGTGCCATTCCATGGTACAGGCACAGCATCAGGATGGAAAATCTGTCAGCCCAAGAGCTGTCAGCCTCCTGAGGCAATAATATAAGGGAAAGAGTGATAGTTACTTCTTAGTCTGAAGTTGTCTTTCCCAACAATGAGGATGCAATTTCAATTCCCTCTCAATTTCATTCCCTCTCTCCCAGAAGAAGTGCATTTAGTGCATTTATTACAGCAGGTCTGAATTTTTAATTTGAGATTCATCAGTCCTGCTTTTCCAGTATTGTTCAGACACCTATAGTGCACTGCTAGAGAGAATCATTTTATGAAGGACAACAACTTAGGAAGCACAGGGGTCTGTTGAAGTTATAGTGCTTTTGGGGGATAATTATTTGCATGGATCATGCCACTCCACCCAACTTGCTTGACATTTCGCAATTTTCTGAATAATTCTTTTTTGTATGAATGTTATTTATGTATGATAATGTATGATGCATCATAATCACTTTCTAATCATTATACAATTTCTTGAACAAAGCAATCTGGGAATATTAGAATTCCCTCTTATGCTGATAAATCTCTATCAAAAACATTAAGCTGTTAGTATACTCCTCTTAATTTTAAGATACAAAAACATGTTTTCTGAAGCTTTTAGATTACATGTAACTGGCATGAAGTATAAAACTGCATAGAATAAAATCGAATGCCTTGCAAAGTATTGCCACACAAACATTAAAAACTATTTGCATTTTTTGCTTGACAAAATTTTTGATTATTAAATGCAAATCTGCTATGGAAAGCCATGAACATAATTTTTGAATTTAATAACTGAATGTTTCACTTTTATTTCCTAGCAAGATAATTTGGGTAGTAGGACAAGGCTAGAAAATTTTTTATGTTCCCAACTACACTCCTTCTAATATTAGTTTTCAAAATGTTGTGAAATACCTGTACACAACAGTCATTCTTTTAATAAGACCTCTCATATCAGTGAACAAACTAGCATCCAGCAGGGATTTGTTTTCCTTTTATTTACATCATTAGCAGCACTACAAATTTGGCATATAAAGTCAACTGGAAAAGCACAATACTTTTGTATGCATACCTTCTTCTTAATGAAGCCACAGGACAGTATTAAATTAGCTATGGAATCTAGTATTGCTGTTGTAGTAGTCGATAGTCTGACACTCTGTCTTCTAAGCTACAATAAGTAAATAAATTATTGTCTTCCATCTGACCACATTTCAATACCCTAAAAATATGTGATGAAAGATTAAACTTACATAAATTTTAGATTTCAAAAAGCTTTTCATATGGAATTCATAACACTAATACCAGTCTAGAAAAAAAGTCATATGAAACTGTAATTTCTATTAATGAGAAAACAGAAAAGAAAAAATTTATCTTCCCTACTTTGATAATAAAAGGATGCGGTAAACTTCTTTTATGTAGAATTCCTCTTGATTTCAATAAGGACCTCTACCTCATGACTGGCTGATGGTAAGAAATGTGTTTGTCATTATCTCTGCATTAAGTTCTGCAAAAATCAGCCACATGTTCCTAGGTTTTACATCCATCAGATGAGGAAAACCCAACAATTTATTATAGCGTGTATCAAATAACACAAAAACTTATATTTGTTAACCAGGTATAGTACAAACAGAAAAATTATTTATAGTTCTTCTGAATAATTGAAGAAATCAGGGATTTCATTTATGTAAAATGGAAAAAAATAGGGAAAGGTTGTGTATGAAGCTCTTAAAAATAATGTAGCAAAGACCACATGGTCACTTCTTAAGCTCTAGTTAGCCCAGGGTGGATGGAAAGAAGAGGACAGAAGAGGGGAGTGAGAAGACAGGCACATCTGAAAGGAGTAATGAGCAGGACTCTTCCAGGTAAATGTCTACCACTTTGCCTGCATCCAAGTATTGCCAACAACTTCTAACTTGAAATCTTAGGATTGCTTGTAAGTGTTCTTTAGAACACAAGTTTTTAGATTTCCCATAACATCAATTAGACAATGCTGGTTACTCACCATGCAATATGACAGAAAAAGAATGAAAATGCACAGCAACCAAAGGGATAGAGAAGGACAATGAGCTCCGGTGCAGTCCTTTCTCTGCTCTAGCCCCTGGAGCACTTAGTCCTTTTTTATTTTGTCCTTGGTATTTGCAGAGTTGTCTCACACATTTTTCCTCACATTTTTTTACTGTGTACTGTTCTTCTATTTCTTAGGTATATTCTTACAAAGGCACCACCATCTTAGGTCTGTTTGAGCCAGCTATAATCTGCTGTGTCCTCCTTAGGGCAGCTCCTGGCCTCTTCCTCTCAGATACCACTCTGCCAACATCTGGGCATCTACCCCAAAATGATATTTTATATATTATATATATATGTTTTATATAATATATATAACATATATATATAATGTAATCTATATAATGCTACTATATCTAAACCCATATATATTAGCTACAGATCCCATCAATCTTTACCTGTTAAAACTTTATTATGATATGCAAACAATTTACAGTGTTTCCATGAAAAGCTGTCTTTGACTACTCACCTTGTGTCGCGGTGCCTTCCCAAAGTCTCTGGCAGCCCAGTACCTTTGGTACTGCAGGCAGCAAGGGCCACGTTCGTATGCCACTGCGGGCAGGAACTATGGCCTGTGGGCCTGAAGCCACCAGACAGGAGGAGGCACATGACCACAATGACAAGAGCAAGGAGTCATCCTTTTGGGGGCATCAGCATTCCGAGTTTATTGGAGCTCTGAGGAGACAACCACGGCTCAAAGGGAGATCTGCCCCAAAAGGCACCAAGCACTGTGTGCATGGCCTTTTATATGGGGGAGGTAACAAGGGGAGGGAACAACAGTCAACTAATGGGATAACAACTGGGGGTGGCAACCGAAGTGACAAGCAGGGGAAACATCCAATGGGGTGAGAGGGAGGGAGGGGACCCCAGGGACCAGCCTATCACCCGAGGCCTGGGTAGAACTTTCTAGGTGAAAGGGAGGGGCCTCAGAGTAACAGACAGGCCCTGGGGAGGGGTCAGGGGAGTGACTCAGCATAAATGAACCAATAGGATAGAGGGAGGGATGACTGGCAGATGGGGGGGGGAGGAGAAAAAGGGGGGCCGGACCATTTAACATAAAGAGGGGGAGAGGGAGCAACCATAAGTGGGGGAAACTTAGAACGCACTCCAACAACCTTGCTCTTGTTTAATGGAGTTTTGCTAACCCTAGAGATTAAACAAATGTATTTGACAGTGCTATTTTCAGATTTTTATTGGAAACTCAATGTTGTCTTGTGGACCCCACTCCAGAAATGCTTGAAGAAGGGAGTGCTTGCTGATTCACAAGAGTTTTAAGCAACAGCTACGTATGTGGCAAAAGTATACTGTACATATGACAAAGTGGTAAGTGAATTAGTCTGGGAGACTTGGGCTGTCCTTACTGATCATGTGAAGCAAGAATGGCAATACTGACATATATCACTACCTGCTAACTGAACTTAATGGCCTTGTGAATGCTGATGCTACACATAGTCCCAGAGTCTGAGGGAGCTGTCAAGACTGATTTCTTCCAAGTACTAGGATGTCTGAAACATCATAGTAGATGGGAATTATGTGCTGCTACATGAAAATCAGTGAAATATAAGATACTTACAAAAGCAATACCCTCAGCACAGAATTAATAAGCAACCTATGAACTGAAATATAGTTCTTAAATCATTATATTAAAAAATGTTAAATCTCAGATAATTTGTAAAAGCTGAAAGCTTTGTGTTTGGAGTAGGAGAGAGGTTAAGGTGGCTGTGGAAATGGCCGACATCAAATAAGAGTGTAGTATGTACTGTAAAAGATAATTTGACTGCGGATGTTGAGGGCTGAATCAGCCATCTGCAAATTAAGGCTTTAATAGTGACTTTTGTCTGAAAGTGTAGGGTGCTGGAAAAAGTCTGATATGCTGTTGAAGTTACCTTGTAATGTTAAATGCTCTCAACAAGAATACAGGAGTTAAGGAAGCCAAAGCTCAGGTATTGTTAAAAGCAGTAAAAGGTGTGAAGAGAAAAAAGAAAGGATTCTTTTAAAAAATGGCAGCCAAGAAAAGGCTTAAAAAACTGAGACAGAGATTCTCACTCCCTGCTTTATCTTAGTTTTCCTTGTTGAGGTGAAAGTTTGCTCACAGGTCTAGTGGCAGTGCATAGGAACAAGCTTTAGTCTTCTGGGTATACTCAAGTCCATGGGATCAAGTGCATCCAAGGGTGCTGGGGGATGCAGCCAATGTCACTGTGAAGCCACTATCTATTATCTGAAAGATCCTGGTGACTGGGGGAGATTCCTGAAAATGAGAAAAGGGAAAAGCTCCCACTCATTTCAAAGGGCAGAAGGGGGCATCAGGGGAAACAGGCTCCTCACCTTAATGCATGAGAAGATGATGGAGCAACAAATGCTGTAAGTAGCTGCCAGCCTTAGGAAAAGCAAGGAGGTGACTGGGATCAGGCAACATGATTTTATGTAGAGGAAGTAATGCCTGACAAAACTTACTACATTTTTGCTGTTAGATGGTGCACTGAGGACCAAGGGAGAGTTGTGTGTTGCTTACTTGGAGTTCAGTAAATCCTTCTGTATGATTTCTCATAGCATTTTAACAGACATATGAACTGGAAAGCTAGGCAAAAGGTGAATTGAAAGCCAGCTGGATCATCAGATGCAAAAGGTTGTGATGAGCAATGCAAAGTCCCAGTGGTGGATGGTTAACAGTGATTCCCTCAGGGATGAATTAACTACTGCTGGCATTAGTAGTTTTTGATCTGTTTATTGACAGCCTGGGTGATGGGGACAGTGAAAGTCTGAGCATGATACAGAACGGGGGGAGAGAAGGGCTGCTATGTTTCTGTGATTTGGAGGCGAGTAAGGAAAATCAAGGAGCAGCAGGAGTCTAATGGCTGAATGAGGACTCAGATGCTGAGATGAGTGTCTGGGGAGAAATTTGTACTGCACAAAGGTACTAGATTCAAGAACTGTGTAAACCCAAAAAGAGCAAAGAAATGGGTAATTGTTCAATTTACCTCGATTCTAAGTGAATTGTTCATTCCACCTTTACTTTCACATTTCCTAATTCTTTAATGTTTGATACAGTAACCTGAAAGAATACTTTCATTTTCTTGTACAATCTGATAGACATAGGTTTGCTTTCTATGCCATGTACTAGAAATGCATATCTTTCAGCATGACATGGAAGCCAAGCATAGTCATGTTATTGAAATGTTTATTTCCTACATTAAACCCTCCCCACCTCTCCCCCAGCTGTAATTGAGAGGTGTTCAATTTAAAAAATCTTTTATTTTTTCACCCTAGTATGCCCTAATTATGCAACAAAAAAAAAAAAAAAAAAAAAAAAGCAAATCTAAGGTATACAAAATGTGTATAAAAGACAATAAAAGCAAATTAGTAGGTGGAAAAAAGAGTCCTTGTTCACTCATATCATATAAATTTAAGTCAGTAAATTGAGTCCGTAATGCTATGTATCTTGAAGTGGTCTGTGAATATCATTGTCTTATAAATTCATTTCTTGGCAGGTGTTTTCCCATAATCTGTAACAATCCATCAGATTTTGCTGACAATAAGCCATTCTTTGGAGGAATTAGTTTTAATACAACATTTAAGTTCAGGAAACATTTTCCAAAAATTACTTGAATCAAAAACGAAGAAGACAGCTGGTAGATAAACAGGTCAATTTTTCTCATTAAGGTACAGAAAAACCAGCCTGCTGCATGCAGCCTGCCCTTCTCACCTACTGCAGTGAAGGCAGAACAGTCTTATCAGGTAAGGTCATTCTGCACGGCAGCTATACAATTTCTGCCTAACCCTTCATTAATCCACAGAGGTAACCAGTGGGAATCCAACAGCTCTTCATCACTTCAGTATCAAGAGGCATGAAAACAGGTTGTCAGGAGCCTGATTTCCCTCCACTCTATGTGACTAAGTAGAAATGTAAGAATACAACAAAGTAAAACAAATACAACCCACAACCAGTGGAAGTTTTACTGAGGTGAGTACTGGGGAGAGGGAGGTGTTTTGGTTTTTATTTTTTGGTTTTGTCTTTTTTATTCTTTCTTATTTTTATCATTGATAATATGAGCCACATGTATTTTATCTAGGAGAACATTGAATAATAACACTGAAGAATAACTTCAGCTCCTTTTTGCTACTCAGAATATTTATAGACTCTTTGTAAAGAGCTTTCTGCTACAAATTCAAACAAGAATGTCTTTGGTTACTGAAGTAAATAGATACCTCTTTTTATAAGAAGAATAGGGTAAAAATATGATCATTTAAATCACAATCATCACCATGCCTTTTTATGAAAGAGTTTCTGCCTTTTAACATTTCCATTAACTAATAGTTTAAATTAAATTTTTGGCACAAGGTTTTCCATATCAATCAATCAATATCCCTGCTGTGATGCATCATATCATATGACAACTGTTTTTAATACTAAAATTCCATACTAGTAAAGATGTAGCATTGTTCTGGGTTTCCCTGTTTTTAGCATTGCAACTCAGAAGAAATATAAGCAAGATAGTAAGAACCTGCAACCATATTTGGGCAGAAGTTGTTGCCTGGCACTAGTAAAGAAAAGCACTAAGAATATGCTGATAAATTCCCAAATCATCCCCTGCTTGCAGCAGAGCAGTGTTCTCTGTGTGTTTCTCCCATCCATGATGTTTACTTCAGCAGCCTGATGCTCCCCAGTGATAGCACATGAATAAAAGACTGAGCAGTAAATTGTCAATTTATCACAACTCTACTAATGAAACCTTCATGTGGTGTTCTAGCACTGTTTTCTTCCTTGATGCTTCTTATCTATGTTTCAGAGTGTTTGCCAAAAGCAGGGTTCAAAACCCTGCTATCCCCAAATATTATGTAGCTTACCACAGACCACAGACCTCCAGTAGATACAGTATAAACAGAGTACAATTTGGCATCCAATCAACATAAATTTTAATAGGACACAATGCAATTTTATAGCATACAGTGTGAGTTTTAAGCTCTTTTTCTATTGATGAATAATGTAAAATATAGTTTAGCTAACAATAAAAGTGAAAAGAGAAGCTATATAACATGGGGGTTTTTTTAATCAAAATTGGGAAAAACCAAATCAGTAATGTAAGAAACTTGTTGCAAAAGGTAGAACCTGAATGAGAAAGATGTTCACATCAAACAGTATAGGATTAAGTAGTTTGAGAGAGTATGCTAATAGCATCAATACTCTTCAGCTCTGACCCGTATGATATTATCTCTTTGCACTGAGTCTTCTGTGAACAAGTGGAAAAGAAGGAAAAATTAAAAAAAAAAAAAGGCTTGTATGAGTGAAGCAGGTTAGAAAAGAAAAACAGACGAAGATCTTGAAGTAAAATCATGGTTAAAAGTTTTTACCTCAGCCCCAATACACAGATGTTTTTCCTGCTTGAGTAGGCTACAAAGCATGTGTCAATAAAACTTTTTACGACTTAATATTGCTCCAGTGGAAAGTTAGAGAGGAGAAAGGCAGGCTCAAAATGGGTACTTGGACTTTTTCTTTAAAAAAATCCAATCACTACCACCATATTTTCTTTATGATCTTACCATAAATAACAGTGCCAGATACTGTGAAAGAATGCACATGGTGCCAGGGTACATTGCTTGCCAAGTTTCCTTAGCGTGAGAGTTGGTTTTCTGATTGCATACTAATTGTCCATATAGTTTAGTCAAAGAATAATAGTTTTTCTGTATGACTTCATCCACAGTGTTAAAAAATTGTGCCTTGATTTCACCAGAATTTCCACGCCTCTGGCAATAAACCCTTGCAGAAACAGTGACTCTTGGCCCCACAGCACTTTGTGGCTAGTTAAACAACCCTCTCTGAAAAGTGATGTTAACTTGATACTTTCATCTCACCATCAGTGCATGACAATCAGAACTTCTTTCATACTCTTAAATTGTTGATTCATTCAATAATTCAGTCTGATAGGGAGTTGGTTATTTTGTTTAATTTAGAAATCACTTTAAATTGGTTTTACTGATGAAAGCTGTGATTATGAGCATATGGTTTTTCTTTGCTTTCGTGATCTGGTGCTATTTTTCATCATTTTCATAAAAAGCTGTATTTTTCATTATTATAGAATTTTCATTAGTGGTCTGTCATTTAAAGCTTGGCATATAACCCCTAGTTTGAGAAGAGAAAAAAGAAAAAAAATTTAGCTAAATGACCTCAAATGAATGTGATTTAACCAACTAAAACTTCAGTAGTCATAATTTTAAAAGAGCAGGGACAAATATTAGCAGGGCCCATGGTCCAGATGCTAATGTGTTCTCAGGCTTTCTGAACCTAGCTTTGCTTTGTAGGACAGTCTGCTGTCCCACACCACCAGCTTTAGTGTGTGGAGTAGAAAAAAGCAGGGAGTAAACTAGCAGGGAGTAAGTGCTTATGCCAGTTCATTGCACACCTAACATACTGCAAAAATGGAAGATTGAAGATGTTCCTTCTTTTCTGATTACTTGAATGCCAGCTGGTCTTTCGGTTGTAGGTATTCCAGGTCATCCTGTGCTGAGAACAGCAGGCACACCTCACTGTACCTGGGTGCTGTTTTCAAACTATCCTGGTTTACCAAACTGGAAGATGATATCTGTAATTATAGGAATCTTTTTGTCTCTGAACCAGCACTTCTCTGTTGATCTCATCCTATTCAAATGTGATTACATTTGAGTCTCTGATTGTCAAGGGAATATTTCAAGAAATTTGTTTTGCCTATTTACCAGCCATTCCCTTCTCTGCTACTCATGGGCTTTTGTAGGTTATGTTGTAATCACAAGTCCATATGCATCCTGCTTCAAGCAAAGTTGTTTCCCACATCTCTTTTCCTTTTTAATAACACATGCACATTCTTAGGAATAGAAGGTATTTTTTTCCTTTGATTTAAAGCTCCCACAAACCTGACTTGTGTTGAATGAAAAAGGAACAGTTTTAAATTTTTTTAACAGAGTCTGAAGATACTTCTTTTTTTTTTCCCTCGCCCTCTAAATTTTGCTCAATACTTCTAGTGAGTGGATCAGCATGTCCATTTTCAGGTTTATAAATCCCAATATATTGTTAATACTTTTTGTGATGTCCCTAAGGAAAGCAAAATTTTCTCTTCTGATTTTCCTTTTGTATTACTCTTGAATATGCATCATATTGTCATGATGCTGTTTCTTTTTCACTGAGATAAACCTTTTAATGGCCTTCATGGAACCTTCCAGAATGCAACCATTCACTTTGTATAACCTGATGGTGAAGGTGCCATATATATGATATGAATGAGAAAAATTTCTAGACCTTATAGCAATGCCTTAGCAGGGAAAAAAAAAAAAATACTTGAGCTCTCTTATACAACATCTTCTAATAAAATCTGCCTCTAAAAGACTGTTGTGGAGTAGAAAGCCTACGCTACTGGCACATTATCATGAGATGAAATGAAATGACAGCAGGAATGTGAACAGCACGGCTTTAGAGGATTGTCTGGATGACAAGAGAACCATTTTAAAGTGTTTCATGGAGGGTGCTATACTTTTCTGTTTTCACTGCAACATTTCAGGTAGGAGCTCCCCCAACAGGGATTGAGTGGCAACAGGGATAAGGGACACTGACTGTCAAATCAACTGTCTCCATCTCTGTCCCTGTCTGTCTCTGTTTTTGTCTCTGTCTCACTTCTTCTAAGAATAGAATAATCACATCTTTTCATAATACAGTGACATTGCTCAGATTTTTCATTATGCCTGGATTAAGAATAAAAAACGGGGGTGGAGCTGTGAGGGGAGAGCAACTTCAATTTGATTCTTCTTGTTCACCACCTTTTCTCTTTGTACTTTCCTGCCTCACTTGGGATGCAAAGCAACTTCACCTTGGGTTCTTTTAGATTATTAGGTAATTAACAACTGCAACATTAACCTCCTCAGACCGTATTTTCATTATCTCCAATAGGATGGCAGGATTAAGATAGCTGGAAGGAGCATGATGTGATTTAGTTCTGTTTGATGCTTCTGCCTTAGTAAATGTCAGAAGCAGGGAACAGAGTATTAATAATAATTTGCATCCAGTGTGCTAACAACAGATCTCCAAGAGAATGCACTCTGTAAAATAAAGCTCCAAGGTGGCAATTGCCCCTCCTCCAAAGCATAAATGAAAACATGGCCATTCAATATATATTTGACAAATGCAGGGTTAAATAAAAACACTAGTATCTATTTAAAAGCCAAGAAGCAGTTTGCTGGAGCAGTTATTTCATGTTAATCACTTTGTATTTACTGCAGCTTGAGAAAGACACATTTGTTATGCAGACAGTGTTCATTGTCGTAGCTTCATCATTAATGCACTGCTGCCAGCAACAAAATGAATTAGCTCTCTGAATACTAAACTGGGAAACCAATGTTGAACCAGAGAGTGACACAATGACACTTACAGGATTAAAATACACTGCCCAGCTATGAGAGAGTGCATTTTTGGCGTTTGTTAATGATTAACTATTTTTAAGATTAGTATTAGTAGGAAACCTCTCTGGAATGGTTGAAAACTGTAGGACAAACAATAGTGATCATTTATGTTCCCCATGGGAGTTTGTACTCTTTCTGGAATACAAATTTCTCATGGATTATTTCCCATGCTTGACCACAGCCATTTTTTCCCCATCAACAATTTATCATTTATCCCTTTACATGCATGCTTTGAATTTCTGCAATTCCTAGCATACTGTAGATCCATAGCAGCACTGTGGAAAGTGCATGAATACAAAACACGAAGGAATCAA